CCGCGCCGCTGCCTGGGCCGCTAGCGAGCGCTCCCAGCGGGCGTTCCCGCCCCGGCTGCATCGCCTGGGCGCTCAGTCCGGCAGCATTTTGCTGCAGCCCGCGCGCCTGGGCGAAGCCCCTTGCGGGCTTCCTGCAAGGTCAGTTGGACTGCGCAGCAGGCACCGACCCTCTGCAGCAGAGTTCGACGTTCCCGGCATCGTGCTGACCAATCGAGTGACCCCCTGGATCCTGACATTCTTTCTGCGGTGAGCGCCCTCCTCCCCCTCCTGTCCTCCGAGGCCGCTCCCGGCCAATGAGTCTGCCGAACACCCCAGGCAACTCGAGCGTGCAAGCGGATTGCCCCTGCCGCGCCGCGACGGGAAAAAGTCCTCGGAGTGCTTCGCACGGCTGGGCCCGACCTCGTGCCCCCCCCGCGAAATAGAAAACACGCACGTGACGCAATCCCAAGTTGGCCCCACTCTGGGGCGAGCGCCGCGATCGCGGATCGCGGCTCCGCCAGGTCGCAGTCTGAGTCGGGGACATCCGGCAAATTCGGAATATCAAGTCAACACGGGGACCGCGAGAAGCCCCCCGTGCAAGCGCAACGCAGAGTCGTCCGCGCACGCGCGGCGCAATGGACCCGAAGAGTCGCCCAACCCGCTCGAAGGAGTCGGACGCGGCAGCGAGAAGCAAATGGAGAGGGCGGGCAGCCCGGCTCTCAACTCCCCCGTGACCAGGAAGCCGTCGTGCAGGGCTCCACGGAAGGACATCGCACAGGCGCTCTGGCGGAAGGGGTCGCGAAGGTTCTGAGGGAACCACTCGGGCCATCCCGCACGCCAAGACCATTCCGGCAAGAAGCCGTGCTCCACCGAAGGGCACGCGGCGTCAAACATCCGTGAGCAGTGAGCGGGCGTCTGAGCAGTCGGTCGCATCGGGGCACGTGGCTGCCTCCACGTCGATGACGTTGGACAGCATAGATCTGCCCTACAGAAGCCCGCACTGGTCCCGGGAAATGCTGGGAGGCAGGGCGGGTTCCAGAATGAGCCGCGCGGCGATGGCGAGGATCCTGTTGCCCGAGTTGACAACCGTTAGCGGCCGAATGTCATCGGCACTGTGCACCGCGACGCCCTCGCCCGTGGCGCCCAGGGCCTTTGGCAGACGGTCTGGCAAGCTCTCGCCGAACTCGAACTCAAAGGCGGCGAATTCCTCCAAAGCGTCGCTCCCGAGGAGCCCATTGACTGGGTGTTGCCCGTGAGCCTGACAGAGAGAGAGAAAGCACATCGGACATGGTGGCGACCGAGTCGAAACTGGGCAGTGAGGCCCAATTGACGGACGGAGTCCTGCGGGGCGCGCGGCCTGGTCCTGCTCGGCCAAAGTGCGGAAAAGGTCCGAACTGTGGCCCCGCTCCCCAAACATCGCTTTCCAATGCGCTCCAGCACGCTCCGCGAACCGGCCTCGAACACTAGGGGACCCTCCCCGAACCAGCCTCGATCTTATACCTCGGTCCGACCTCAAGCGGGCCGGTTGCACCACATCGCACGCTGTCCTTGCGACGCCAGCCGTGTCCTCCGCGTCGCCCTCTCCCTGCACACGTGTCGGCGCACGCAGTCGGTGCGGCAGCGCGCGCGGTCGCGGGGGCGAGGTCGGCCGCGCGCTCCCCGAGGGCCTGGGGGCGAGCGGGCAAGCGTCCAGAGAAGTCGCGCAGGTCGAGCGTGACAGGAGCACACACGCGAAAGGACACCAGACCCTTTCGGGGGCCACCCTGCCACAGGAGCGCAGAGGACATGAGGTGCCATGCACAGGACAAGGGTACCCTGGGTTTGGCAGGGCCGACCGACGAATGAAGCTCGGCTGCAGGGGTGGTAGATCAGGTCGCAAAAATGCGGGCAACGGACGAGGCACTTTGAAACCTCGCCCCGGAACCAGCACTCAATGGAGCGGATCAGTTTCATTGCGATGCCGACGGGGGGGGGGTGGCGGACGGGGGGGTGGCGTGATCCACGTCGATGCAGCGGGCGACCTACTTCACCGCTGCCTTAAACATCTGGAGTTTGGCGAGTCCCGAAGAGGAGGTGGAGGAACGAGGCGATCTTCGAACGCGAGAGCGCTCTAGCATTATAATTTCTGCTTCGCCCAGGCGTATTTAGCACGCATCTCAATTTCCCTTGCAATGATGACTCGTCCAGGCAAAGCCACTTTCACCCAGGAGGGGCACGGAAGAGGGAGAAGGGATGATGAGAGAGGAAGCACACGGAAGAAACTCGCCGGCCCAACAGGCCAAAGGCGTGCTAAAATCTCTGGCAACATCATTCGAATACGTCTAGTTCGCGCGCGCGTGGCTGCCCCTGGGGGTCCCAGGACGCAAAGTACCCTGGGCAAGTCCCGGGCGGTACCTGGGCGGTCCTCGTCACGGATGCAGGAACTCCTGGGGACTGCCTCCAGGGCCTTCAAGAGCGTCTCAAGAGGCCCCCAAGGCGGTCTAAGAAGGCCCGTCAGTGGAAGTCGTTCCAAGATGCCTAAGATAGCCTCCAGACGGCTTCAACCGCC